TTATGTGGAAACAACAAAATGGAGCTGATCTGGTCCTCAGACAGCTCACCCGAGGAAGGAGACCTTGACTGCGAAGATCCTGAAGGAGAACGCGAACCACGCAGTGCCCTGAGGGGGTGATGGGAACCATCCTGCAAACTTTAGGATGGCTGTGAGCAGGAAGAGAAGATAAAAATAGCTTCACCAGGGGTGGTAGTGGAGTGGAATGAAGGTGCGGCTCAGATTTCACAAAATGAAAAGCAAGTAGCACCCTTAAGTGAGGGGTTGCCCGGAGTTAATGCTCCTGGGTCTTACATGGGGTTAGTGGAATCTGGCTGTACAGCAAGCAGGCCGCTGGGAGCGTACTTGAAGGGTTCGCCTTGGGTCGCACACTTAGAGCCAGGCCCTATGCAGAACACTGGGGACCCAGGCCCAGAGAAGAGGGGTGGGGGTCGGTGAGTTAATCCAGCTCCGCATAGGTGAGCGGTGGCGGCGAGGACTGACACGCAGACAAGCCCTTCTGCTCCCTTCTCAGCCGCAATCCTCACTGAACAGTTGTGGCTCGCAGGGAGAGACACTGGCTCGTGGCCACCCGCCAGGTCAGGCTGGGGACATGAGGAATGGGAAAGGGCTGAGGGAGATAGCTTCAGAGGCGGCTGCCCGGCCCCGCGGCCACTCGTTTAGTCTCTGGGCGCGACGACACGGGAGCGCTCTGCCTCCGCCTTATAAAAGCTCTCGGGCAGGGCGGCTGTACAGACCCTGGCTGAGCTCGCTCCGCGCCGTCCCCCCCCCGCCCCCCCACCTGTTGCCGCAGCCGCTGCGCTCCGGCGCGGGCTGCAGAGATGGGCCGCTACTCCGGCAAGACCTGCCGGCTGCTCTTTATGCTCGTGCTCACCGGCTCCTTCTTCGTAGCGGAGCTGGTTTCGGGCTACTTGGGCAACTCCATCTCGCTGCTCTCCGACTCCTTCACCATGATGTCAAGCCTGATCTCTCTGTGTGTGGGCCTGAGCACTGGCCACATCGCCCGGCGCCACCCCAGGAGCTTCCGGGCCACCTACGGCTACTCCCGCGCGGAGGTGGTGGGCGCGCTCAGCAACGCAGTCTTCCTCTCCGCGTTCTGCTGCACCATGTTGGTGGAGGCCGTGCTGCGCCTGATCCAGCCCGAGCGCATGGATGACCCGGAGCTGGTGCTCATCGTCGGCGCACTGGGGCTAGCGGTCAACCTGGTGGAGTTGCTCCTCTTCAAGGACTGCGCCTCCTGCTGCCCCGGCAGCCTTCGCCTACTGCAGCAGCAGCAGTTAGTCCAGGGTGGCGCTCGCAGAGTTTTCGGGGACCGCCAGGGCGCGGAGGACCCGCGGCACGCGGCCACAGCCCCTGGCTCGGACTCGGCCGTGATCCTCCCGGGGGCTTCGGTTGAGAGGCAGCAGGAGCAAGAGGAGGGGGCGACCGTGTTCTCAAACGTAGCAGGTGCCTTTCAGTTGCATCCTTGGGACCACTTTGCCTTTCCCGCCCTGTCCCTTTCTTTTCATCCCACGCCTTCCTTTGCTACTACCTGCTGTTATTTTTTTTTTTTTTAATTAAGCCATGTCCTTTACTGCAGTCCTGCTTTACTTCTCTTATACTAGCGTAACATTCCGTACAGGTAATTTCTTTATTTTCTTTTCCTTGTTTAAATCCTGGATCCACGTCCTCATAGCCTTTTTTTCCTTCCTCCATTCTCTCTGTATACGAGTATTGATTTTTGTTTTTTTTGAGACAGAGCCTCAAGCTGTCCCCCTGGGTAGAGTGCTGTGGCATCACAGCTCACAGCAACCTCCAACTCCTAGGCTCAAGCGAGTCTCCTGCCTCAGCCTACCAAGTAGATGGGACTACAGGTGCCCACCACAATACTGGGCTATTGTTTGGTTGTAGTTGTCATTGTCGTTCGGCAGGACCAGACTGGATTCGAACTCGCCAGTTCTGGTGTAAGTGGCTGGTGCCTTAGCCACTGAGCTACAGGCGCCTACCCCGAGTATTGATTTTCTTGGAAATCCAGTCCTTATTATTGGGCAACAGATAGCACTCCCTAATCCCTCCAGCCTTTCATTAGTTGCTGTCTGAACGTTCCCACCTCTTTTTGTCCCCTGGGATATTATGGTATGGATGGGCTCCCACTTGCCCCCTTTTTGCTTTAACTCCAAAAGAAGTTTGAAGGAAGTCCAAAAGTGGATCACAAGGCTATTACAAGGTCAAAATATACCATTCTGGCCTGTGTGTGCAGGGGTAGGGGCTCCCATAAGCTAGTAGGGATTTAAAATAACAAAACTTTATTTTGAGTCCATTGATTTTCTTTATTATTTGTAGAATTTATACAAACTCTAGGTTTCTTCTTTGAATGCAGGTGATTCCTTGAATACCCAGAATGAGCCTGAAGAGATGATGAAAAAGGAGAAAAAGTTCAAAGCCCTGAATATCAGAGGTAGGATTGACTTTGGGACCATTTGAAATCCTTTTCAGTGGCACATGTGGACTGTGCTATTCATTTCTGTTTGACTTTTTTTTTTTTTTTTGAGATAGAGTCTCACTTTATCACCCTCGGTAGAGTGTCATGGTGTCACACAGCTCACAGCAACCTCCAACTACTGCAGTGGCTTAGGTGATTCTCTTGCCTCAGCCTCCCGAGTAACTGGGACTACAGGCACTTGCCTCAACGCCAGGCTATTTTTTTGTTGCAGTTATGCTGGGGCTGGGTTTGAACCCACCACCCTTGATATATGGGGCCGGCGCCCTACTCACTGAGCCACAGGTGCCGCCCCATTTCTGTTTGACTTTTAATAAGCCAGTGGCATGTTTGAAAGTAGCCCAGTTACATGCATAGACTATGACCCTAGTCTCTTGCCTAATCACTGCATTGATTTTGAGGGGGAAACTAGTTGCTAATGATTTATCTTTGCTCCACGTAGACCCAGGCTAAAGCTGCTTGCCCCAGAGCGCCACATATCAATGTCCTGTTACTATTTTACTTGGTTTTACTTATCTATGATATTGCTAACATACAGTGTACCCTATTTTAATTGAATGTGATTTTGATAAGGATGGATTTTTCTCCTGAATTCTCAGGCCCCCCTGCCCTCTTTTCCTAACTTTCTTGGAAATCAGTCTTTATTACCAGGAAATAGACAGCATCCCCCAGCCCTTCCTCCTTTTCATTAGATGCTGTCTGAACTTTGCTTTGGAAATGAATGGGTGTGTTGCTATCCAAGGTTATACCCTGTATGGTTATACACCTGAGTCCTTCTGCCAGAAATCTGTTGGCTCACTAAAGCCTCCATTTCCTGACCCAAAGGAAAGGTTCTAGTGAGTCCTATGGAAGACGGCTAACTAGAATTCTTGCTCAAGGTCAGAATCACTGGGGTAAGAGCAGCCCAAGAGACTCTGAGATGTGTTTCTCACTAGGCACTATTGTATCCAACATCTCTCCTTTCCAACTTTTAAGGCACAGATTTTACTGCAGGGTAATTCCAAAAGTGATTAATCTTCAACTTTAAACATCAATGACAACTGCAATAAAAAAGCAGCTGGGGTTCAGCACCTGAAGCTCAAGGGGCTAGAGCACCAGCCACATACACCAGAGCTAGTGGTTCAGATCCGCCCAGGCCTGCCAAACAACAGTGACAACTATAACCAAAAAATAGCTGGGCGTTGTAATGGGTGCCTGTAGTCCCAGCTACTTGGGAGGCTGAGGCAAGAGAATGGCTTAAGCCCGGGAGTTGGAGGTTGCTGTGAGCTATGAGCCTAAATCCCTCATCTTTAAAATGGGGATAATAACAGCATCCACCTCATGGTGTTGGTGTGAAATAAAATCTCAGGCTTATAGTCGGAAAAGTAGTATATATATATCTCTTTTTTTGAAACAAAGTCTCTCTGTGTCGCCTCGGTAGGGTGCTGTGGCATCACAGCTCACAGCAACCTCCAGCGCTTAGGCTTGAACAATTCTCTTGCCTCAGCCTCCCGAGTAGCTGGGACTACAGGTGCCTGCCACAACTCCCAGCCATATTTCACTTATTTCAAAGGGAATAAAAAGAAACAGGTTCTTCTTCAAAGTACAGTGAAAGCAGAATCCTTTTAAAATTCTTGTCAGTGTGCCTTTTAGTGTTTGATATTATTTAATAGGATTAAACATGATACATTAAAATCATGTAACAAAAGACATGTATCAGAAAGAGAATTAACCCTTTCTATTTTCTTTTTTTTTTTTTTTTGAGACAGAGTCTCACTATGTCACCCTCAGTAGAGTGATGTGATGTCACAGTTCACAACAACCTCTACCTCTTGAGCTTAAGTGATTTTCTTGCCTCAGCCTCCCAAGTAGCTGGAGTAGGCCCCCACCACAACGCCTGGCTATTTTTTTGTTGCAGTTGTCATTATTGTTTAGCTGTTATGACTGGGTTCAAACCCTCCACCTTCGGTGCATGTGGCCAGCACAGTAACCACTGTGCTATAGGTGCCAAGCCAGCTCTTTCTATTTTGGTATAAACATAAATAGATGAATGGCAATTCTGACATCTTTTGAAAATAAATCCCCTTTGATGAGATGTTTCTTTATAGTTTCTGATTTTTTTTCCAGTAAGAAGGATCTCATCTTTCATAACTATTTATCTAGTGTGAATGCACTATTATCAATTATTCTGAGTGAATCTCAACTTATGTGAAATTGCCAATTCATGTTATAAGCCAGGTGTTTTTTGGTGGGGGGAGCTGTTTATATCTAAAGACAGCAAGTGAGGGCCAAGGCAGAGGCTTCCTGTCTTTGCATAGATACCTGTGAGTGCTGTGAATCATCAGTTGATTGAATTGTCTACAAAGTGGTGATCTTCATCTCTCAGATAATTCTGCTGAGATCACATCAGAGTCTGCCCAGAATGTTTCCTACATGCAGAATAAAGTCTAAACCAGAGATTCTCAACCTGTGGGTCGCCACCCACAGGAACTGTATTAAAGGGCTGCAGCATTAGGAAGGTTGAGAATCACTGGTCTAAACACTGACATTCAGGGGCTTCCTGCTCCGGCCACAATACTCCTTTCCAGACTTTCTGCCCTTCTCTTCACCCCTTCATGGCCTCACCTCCTCTGCCAGTTCTTTACTGTCTCCCCCACAGTGGCATTTAGTGCATAGGTGCAGTGAGGTGAGAAGTAGAAGTCAGGCAGATGTGTTTTGAGTTCTGTCTCTGCCTTTTACTAGTTAGATGACCTTGGGCAGGATAAGCCTGAACTTCATTCTTTTCATCTATACAATGGAAATAATAGCACCAACATCAGTGTATTGTCATAGGGATTATCCTGGTGGTTGCAACAGTGCAAGGACCCACTCGACCAATGATGCTTGATATTATTATCACCTCCCAGCCAGTGGTCCATTTGCAGAGGTTGTTTCACGTACTCCTCAGAACTAGCCTTTCAGGGAAGTGAGGCTGATATTATTACATGCCGTTTCAGAGAGGTTGATGTTCATAAGATCCATGGCTCATAGCGACAGTGTCAGGATCTGTGACTCTAGATTTAGTGCCTCAGCGCCCGAGGTCACCTGACAAGATGTCCTTCATCTGCAGCCTCCCATGAGTCCTCCCTGCCTGGAACATCTTCTCCTGAGGCTGCCTGTTGCAGTCTGTCTCCTCTTTCCTGCCCAAATTCCTGACCTCTCAACAGGTTTTTTCTGTGAAGAGCTTTCTCTTCCTCCCCCAGAAGATTACTGAGGTCCTTACCTCAGAATCCTGGCAGTGGACTATGGCTAATGACAATGACTGTGCTTTCTTCATTTTTGAATGGAAGGCTAGAAAACACATCACATTGTTATTAAATCTCAAGAATTTAGTGGAATTGTGCTTTAAACAATTTTTTCAAAGTGGCCCGGCACCTGTGGCTCAAGCGGCTAAGGCACCAGCCACATACACCTGAGGTGGCGGGTTCGAATCCAGCCTGGGCACACCAAACAACAATGACGGCTGCAGCAAAAAAAATAGCCGGGCATTGTGGCAGGTGCATATGGTCCCAGCTACTTGGGAGGCTGAGGCAGGAGACTCGCTTGAGCCCAGGAGTTGGAGGTTGCTATGAGCTGGGATGCCACAGCAGTGTCCCCGGGGGACAGCTTGAGGCTCTCTGTCTCAAAAAAAAAAAAAAAGAAAAGAAAAGAAATTTTTTCAAAGTGAAGATCATGACAATTTAAGTCCTAGGATCAATTTATTAGAGTATGATGACATTTAGAAAATGAACTAAATAGAATATAAAATAGTAATAAGTCATATATAGGGTGGCCATAACATTCATGTGCAATTTAAATAGTTACTTTCTAGCCATGCTGTATGGGCACATTTTGTTTTCTCATGAGTTATTTGTTGTAATTTGTGTCTCTGTGTGTGCTAGGATGCAAAACTTAATATTTACTGTATACCAACCACCATTTGATTACAGTGATAATAAAATATTGATTCTACCCTTAAAAAAATATTTACTGTAGAATATGGGGAAAATTTTTGAAAGCTACTATTTTATTTAATTCTTACGGGCTAATAGTAGAATTCTCAGAAAGAAAAGCTGAAATTGGAATTTAAGACTTACATGAGGCCAGATGCACAGTAGATGTCTGGTCAGATACCTAGACTTTCTGAGTATGTGATTTTGGACAAGTCAACTTTGGTACCCTGTGCCTCAGTTTCCTCATTTGTAAAATGAAGAGAGTGTCAATCCGAAATAATTGAAAGGGTGAGATTCCAATTTTAAAGAGTTTATTCGAGGAAAAAGCTGGATGGAAATGGCCATTCCAGGACACACCCCTCCAGAGAAATAGGGGTAGGGCTTGAGAGTTGAAAACTAAATCCTTGGTTATGGTGGCACCCATAGCTCAGTGGGCAGGGTGCCAGCCACATACACCGAGGCTGGCAGTTTCAAACCCAGCTGGGCCAGCTAGATTAACAATGACAACTGCAACAAAAAAACAACATAGCCCAGCATTGTGGCGGGCACCTGTAGTCCCAGCTACTTGGGAGGTTGAGGCAAGAGAATCACTTAAATCTGTTGGAGTCTCAAGGAAACTTACCCTTTCCCCCTTGGTTGGTTCACTGAAAAGATCAACTCACAGTTATGGTAGATTAATAAGAAAAAGGTTTATTTCCAAATACCATGCATGCGAGGGGAACCACAAGAATGATTTCCCAAAGTCCTAGTGATAGTGACTTTTAAAGATTCCTTTTAGAAGTGAGGGGAGGGGGGAGAGAAACTGGAAAGTAAAGGTGTAGTAACTGGCTGCTAGACGGGCTGGGTAGATGGAGGAGAAATAGATTGAATTGTGAATTAACCTGAGAGACAGGTGTTACGCTTCAAAAGACCTATAGGTCTATTAGAATGTAAGGAGTCTTAGCAGCCCTTTAAGATTTTAGGTAGATAGAGGAAAGTCTTCATTCAGAGTTTCCTAATTATGAATAGCCTTTAATTCAAAATTATCTTTATGCCAAGGAATCATATTTTGGGCTGAAATTTTCTTAGCTCCTTCATTCCCCTTGTCTGAATCTTCTCTAGAAGTTTCACACATCAAGAGCTGAGTTGGTAACTGTGAAGAGAGAGAGCAGGTTAGTAATTTAGTAATAAGATGATTGAAAAGAGATATAAGAACATAAATTAGAATGAGAATAAATAAGCAGAAAAGAACAGATCTGAGCACATTTCCGTACACCCCATTAAACCAGTCTCCCATTCCTGGGCATAGGTCAGTCCAATAGAATGGTTTCACTTTGATAATTTGATGAAGAATGTTTATCTTGTCCTTTAAGAGATGTAGATTAGTCTCTATCTGCCCTGATTGATTCACATAAAAACAGCATTTCCCCCCCCCCCCCAGTAACAGCACAAGCTTCTCCTTGTTGAGCTGCCAAGGTGTCCAGGTTGCCATGATTTTGAATTACAACAGATGCTAGACTGTTAACCTCTGTTTGAAGTGTTCCCAATGTCTGCATAGTGATGTTGAGCTCTTGTTCTATTACTATGGAGAGATTCATGACTGCTCTTTAAATTTTATAAGTTCTAAGTGCTGGGTAAAAGATCCTGAACATCGAAAAGAACTTTGAGTTATGATATACAAGGAGATTTTTTATAATGTCATGTTTCTTATGTTTATAAGGCACAACCTTACGAACAAAAGAGCCCAAGTTTGTAATTTGACTGGCATTTAAAGAGGAGTATTTGGTAACAGAGGGTGTCAAATAATCAAGTCCACCCCGTCCTGACCATTTGGGTGGGACATTTGTATACTTTATTACCACACAAGATAAAAAGACCATTGTTATTTATAGACAGAGTCAGGTTAGAACCTGTGACCTTCCAGCCTGGAGTTTGCTGTGTCTTCTCCTGCTCACTGGCACAGTAACATATCTGGCTGTCATGTGTCCCTTTTTGTAGGACAGAATGGGTTGAGGAATATTTGATATAAAAGGCCTTTCGTCTGGCTTTGGCAGTTATATGGCTTGATGCTGTTGCCTAACCAAGCAGTCAGTCCAGACTTTTGGTCTATCCAGATGTAATTGTTTGTGCCTAGGAGTTTAACAAGGGGAGAGAGTGAACTATCCAAAGTTTCACAGGCCTGGCCTGTGGGCTGTTCATAACAGATGGTGATTTGATATGTATTGTCAATATGTAGGTTAGTGTCAGCATGATCTATGATCTTTGTGAGAGGTGCGAATGTGCCATTTGTGGAATTAAACTGTAGAGTTTGATCACAATAGTGTTCCAGGATATCACCTAGAAAAGATCCAGCATCACTTCAGTTTTCAATGCAGAGGGGAAATTTCTTTTCTAGTGATGTTACCTCAACAAAAGACAGTTGTGCCGTTTTTCTATGTCCAGTTATCTCACCAGCAGGTGAAGTCAGAAGTTGTTTCTTCTCTGGGTGTGGATGCCACATCTTATCGTTCCTCCATTTTCCAGATTGGTTCTTCCAGGCACTCACATCAGCAGAGATAAAAATGAATTCAGAAAAAAAAAATGAATTCAGGTTGGGCGGCACCTATTGGTCAATGGGTAGGGCACAGGCACAATATGCCAAGGATGGCGGGTTTGAACCCGGCCCCTGCCAGCTAAAACAGCAGTGGCAACTGCAACAAAAATAGCTGAGCATTGTGGTGAGTGCCTGTAGTCCTAGCTACTTGGGAGGCTGAGGCAAGAGAATCCCTTAAGCCCAAGAGTTGGAGGTTGCTGTGAGCTGTGACACCATGGTACTCTACCGAGGGTGACAGAGTGAGACTCTTGTGTCAAAAAAAAAAGTGTTCAGGTTTCTTTGAATGATCTAGATGTTGACATAACCAGCAATCAGATTGATTAGTTAGTGTGCCAGCGTTTGAAAGACTGGTGCAAAGGCATGATGGGTCTGAGCTTGACCTGTGGGAAAAATAATAAGGGTAAGTAAGAGTAAGGCGTAGTTTGAAAGAAGAGCCACAATGGACAGACAATAAAAAGAAGAGAGAATGGGATAGATTGAAACAGTCTTCCCTCACCTTCCAACATGTTAAGTTCTTTTATTTACTTATTTATTTTCATTTATATTATTATTATTATTATTTTGCAGTTTTTGGCCAGGGCTGGGTTTGAACCCACCACCTCCAGCATATGGGGTAGGCGCCTTATTCCTTTGAGCCACAGGCACTACCCTATTTATTTATTTATTTTGATGCAGTTTCACTATGTCATCCTCGGTAGAGTGCTGTGGTGTCACAGCTCACAGCAACCTCCAGCTCTT